CATCCCTGTCAAATCGCCGATATTGATCGGGCGCAGGCGAAGGACGGCCAACGCAAAGCGCACCCTGGCGCTACGCCAACGCTTACTCTGAAGCCAGGGCAAAGTCGGGTATAATGCCTAGGGCTGTGAATGCGGTATTGAGTCTGCCTGGCACTACTTCCCCTATTCCTTTACAAGGAGTGTATGCCATCCGCAAGATATGATTTCATCGATATCTCAATCAAAAGAGCACCAGTTTACACTCGTGCCGAAATGATAACTTTAACTGGGTTACGATTTAACCAACATTATTAATTCCGGCAATGTTGATTGCTCAACCATACAAGATGTATCGCATCCGAAACGAATCCATTGAGATAGTTCAACAAACCAAACCCCTACATCATTTAATTAGCCATGACCATGTAACTTATTTAACAAATCGGTCCCTATAAGCATTATTCTATAAGATGGTTCGATCAGAAGTCATACCATAAACTTTACGAACCTCTGCAACTTTTAGTGGATGTACAAGCCGCATGGTGAGCAGAGATGCAGAGACGACGCGGTCTACGCTATGTGCTATGGAAGGTTCAAAAGCTGAGCGAACCCAAGCTCGGTAGCCTGTGATCCTATGTTATAAGACCAAAGAGGATAAGAGATTAGGGTCAGATATGGACCTAAATCAGATTGGCCACACTTTGTCATCCTAACTACGCGACTGTAGTACCCAGAGACTGAAGTGAGCAAGTTTGGTCACCGTGTCCGTCTCTCTCGGAAGGCCCTGGTTCACGCCCTTTCTTACTATGCTTCCGAAACTTCCCGGTACAACCATGCCACATAGCACTTATGAATGCCCTTGTGTTGAACGCTTTCGGAAGCTCATTCCATGACAACTTTAACAAAAGACCTACCCCCACCTTTAGAATCAACTGCTCTACAGTAGAGCAGAGTTCATGTCAAATCCACAGGTAAAGACTGAGCGGAAGCTATGAAGCCACTGTGTCGGCTGTCTTCAGAGTTGGCGCTGTCCAGGGCACGTCGTCGGCCGTCTCAGTGTCGCCAAGTGGCAATATTCATAGGCAATGTGCCAACGTATGCCGTTTAGGTAGGATACACCAGATCTCGTAATACCGGTGACCGGCATTCGTGTCAGGAACCTTCATTTCTGAGTCCCGGCTCAACGCCTAGGCAACACACGCGAAGATGACTACGGAAAGTCCGCGGCTCCTCGTACGCAATGCTGCTGGTATCCATGGGTAACGGCCCTGCCTCCTGAACTGTCTTGTCTCTTATTCGGAGCACTGCCGCTGGACCTAGCGTTCAGAACGAAAGAGCGCAGACTAATAAGGCTACTCATGCCTATCCCCTCAGCTACCTTCACAATGGCAATCTTACTTTAAAAGTTTTCTTTTTGCACCTCACTTTATGATTCCTCTTTAACTAGTAGACCATTTATCGGGCTCTTTGGGAGGTCCTACGAGTATAAAAAAAGGTTTCGCAAATGCAAAAGGGGATGATCCGCTAGTACTCACCGACAAAACGCCGCAATACCGCTTTCAATTCCGTCAATACTCGATAGGAGACTTGATCCTCCTCGACCGGAAGAACAAGGGGACTCGGTCGAGTGCCTGAAACTGTATACGTCATTACTATTTATAATCGTCACATTTACTAGTAACTTAAAAAAACGAAATTCGTTTTCAAAAACAATAATATGCAGAGAGCCTTTTTGCGACCGCATCTACGCTTCCCCCTAGGAAGAAGCCCCCCACCCCTGATAACCTGTTAACCTAATGGAGAGTTCAAGGTTCAAATTTTCGTAAACGGGGTAAGAATAGGAGCATGCGCCTTCCAGCACAACACGGGTGGTGATAATCGGTGGTAACAGATTACAGTCCGTCAATAAAAAACCGTCATCTTCTTTGAGGACCAGGAGATCCTCAGTGGTCCCAACAAGCGACATTGACACACAATATCCCAGAAGAGGTTGGATATCACGGAATCTCGATCATTTGGGGCCCACATTACATGACAGCAAATTACGTACAACTATGGAAATTGGAGATTGAAATTTCTGTCCACAAGGGGAAGGCCTATGTAGGAAGGGCTTTCCCTTGTAGACATGGTAGCTTCCCGCATCACGGGTTGCTTGTTTCTCACCTCCTGGATATGTGATCTGCTGTGAAAGCGTTAGGTGACGGCAGAAAACCTGGATTCGTTGTTCCAAGGTCAGCAGAGGATTGTAGAGATTGCTCGAAAGCGCCCGAATCGGAGTACCTATGGGTAGGTTACTGGTCAGACTAGGTACTCTCTCTTAAACTAGTTTAGAAAAGTAAAATCTATGATAACTCACATTAAATGGCTGTCCGTTAATGATGCGGGAGGAGGGAATGGAAATCGTGTGGGAGTGGTACGATGGCCAGCGACGTTCATGTATGCCGACTCAACTCGCACCGCTCCCGGCTCGCCTAAAATGCATCAGTTCACATTGCTCGGGCCTCTATGATAAAATTCTACTATAACTCTCAAACAAATATGAATTATGTGGGAAGAATTACCACTATCTACATTATAGGGGTAATGTTGACTCTACGCCACCCCCGCCCCTCACGCACATCGCCGCCCCGTTGTGCTGAGGGAAAAGCAAAATCGTTACCGCTTGAATCTGCCCATCTCGTCTTATAGACAGGAGTCAGGGCGACCCATCCACCTATGCCGTATCATCTGTTCTCTCCTTCGCAACAATGCAAGCGACCATTTAACTCACCTAAAAAAGGGACCGAGTAATGTGTGTGGGTTGAGAGTTCTGGAGCAATCCAAGCAGGAGATCCAATAGCTGAGTCTACAGATGGGGCAGCCACTTCAGCGACAGCTCGAGGTACAGAATAGTCCGATTCTTCTTTCACGCGAAACCTATCAGAACCTGGGTCTGAAAGTCGGCCTGTAGCAGTGGAAAAGAATTGCAAACAAAAAACGTTAGTAGCCTCCGTCAGAAAAGAAACTCCGTGATCAAAGCACTACCTGTTTGTTGACGAACAAGCCGTGTAGAGGTGGGCGAGCTGTCATTCGGCTGATTGCAGTATTGATGCTCTTGATCTGATGATTGTAATACTTCTGACTCTTCAACAGCATCCCCCATTACCAGGGCCGAGCCGCCTCCATCGACATTGTCGTCACAGATGGTATGCTGCGGCTGGAATCCTCTAATAATTCCTGCCCAGGAGGCTACAGAAACTAGTGACTAAACAATTTAGGTGATTTTCATTGAGAAAATGAATGAGTTAGCACTAACATCTGATGGAAGAAAGACAGGAGCCGAAAGTGGTCGTGCACGCAACTTTCGGCCGAGGCTACCATCACTCGACGGGGGCGGTGGGGCTCCTTCTATATCATCGAATATCGTGTCACTCTGAAATGAGAACTCTCGAAAAGCAGTTATGATAGAAGAAGTAACAGGTAGATAAGTAAAGTAAGTAGTAAAGTAAAGATAAGTATAGTTAGATGAGTAAAAGGCAGCATGATCACCAGTCGATCCTAAACCCGTCTTCCCCGAACTATCACGGCAAGCGCCACTGGTTCCGCGACGGCTACCAAATCCTTCCTTTGAGAATTAGAACCATTCCCTTCGTAGCGAGCGGCTGCGTGCGATCGGGTGCGGCGAGCGCGACGCGATTTTCGGGGAGAAGATACCACACCTACTCCTTTCTCTTTCGTAGCATACAATAATCGCTTGAGGAACACCGCCTAAAATTCTTTCTCGTTACTATTCATAAAATCCTTGTCTGCTCCGCGCATTCCCTAACATCAGGTAGTCAAGGCCGTATGCTATCGATCCTCCCGTCTCCTATAGCTAAACATTATAGGTACAGGTTGGGATGAAGGCCATGCTTATGCGACGCCTCGTTACGTGGTTCCACGAGATGTGTGCAATCCTCTACAGCACAGACTCCTGAAACAGTCGGTCCCTCATACAAGTACCATTCCTCCATCCTAGGCTTCAACCATGCCCCCACCCCCCTCCCTCCTCACCCCCTCGAAAGGGAAGGTTTCGATTTAGGAACAATTCAGAATATCCAACCCCTTTTCTAGAGCTGTCGCTACGGACAAACGGATATCGAGGGTATATTTCATTTAAGATCTTTAATTAGTGGTTGACGAAGCGATGAACGGGGAAGTGATAGTTTTCCAACGAAGGGACTCTAACAAAGTCAGGAGATCCAATTATAGAGAAGTATGTTTTGTAGCCAACTCAAGGAGATCCAATCATGTGAAAACAGAGAGAAATATTGGTGCGTAGCTGTTTGCTTTCCCTCACTCAAGCATTACATTTCCGAATCTTCGCTGTGTACCGGTCTGCTCTGTAGCACTCGTCCTTTGTCAAAGGTAGGATAGCTTACAGGCCCAGGCTGGCAAGGAGGTAGATTTCGCGGAATGACCTGCACCAAGTTTACAAATAGACCTACCTATACGTCATTCCTAGGCTTATTTATCTATGCTTTCACCAAATGCGCTGAGGTGAAAGAGATAACAAGCGACAAGCACTTCCATCAAAAGAATTTGCGTTGCCACGTTGTCGAAATGCGTTCTGCGATATACCGTCTTGCAACTGTCACAGCCGAGGTATAGGTATCGATTCATGACCAACCACAGCACGAGTAACGCTGGGTGTATGTTGCCAATGCGACAACTCAAACTCTGGAGGGTCGCCGCCGCATAGTAATAGGTAAGATTCATGGAGTCAGATCTTTGATATATTGAGTCCACTGTACCTCAGCCAAGTGTCCCAGAAAGGATTCACATCCTGGGTTGTCGTAAATGTGCAATGTTGAAAATTCGGTCGTTGTGTACACTACCGGCTTTTGTGAATATGGTTGTCATTTTCCGCTTCAAAAAGGCATAATGAAAGCTAATAGGAGCAAACGACGTATTCGGAAATGACTTTTTTCAAATGGGGAAACAAGAGATCAGGAAAAAAAANAAAAAAAACACCGACTCTGCTGCAGCTGTGATTACATGTCCTATTGAGTAGTACAATTTGAATAGATCCCACTGAAACTCACATCTGCATCCTGTAACATCCAGTCCAAGTAGTCCACGATCATTTTGAAAGTCGGACGCTTTTCTCGCTTTTCCTTGAAATAACTGTTTTACTTCATATATTGTGCATAAACAACCAGTACTGAAAAACTACAGGCTAGTCAGCATTTAGCGCTAAAACTCATAAATATGAGTTTATGGTCACGCGTAATAAACCGAGCCCGGGGAATCAATCAATACTGGGTCCACCGCCCTCGCTAATGGCAAGGCGCGCTCAAATCCGGTACCATAAAGCGCAAAGGGAAACAGCGCTTTGCTTTTGAGTCCGTAATTTCCCTGCAGCAGAAAACCACCAACCTCCAAAATTATGCAGAGATCACTATAAGAATGCATTTAGTTACTTACCTGCCAACATGATACCATGAGATCATATATCTCAGATGGGCACTTCTGTGGTGCTTCCATTCTGAAAACAGGCACTGCAGATTATTGGAGGTCTAGTTGACACAATAATGACTTGTCAACAAATGCTTGCGGTTACCTGTAACCACCTTTGAGGACTGAGTAAAGCTGAGGCATTGCGATTGTTGGATACGGTGTACCTCCCATTGTCATAATTTCCCATAACAGAATCCCATATGACCAGCTAAACATAAATTGAGACAGAAGAGTAGAACATCATTTTTCGAAGAGGGCTACTCACACATCACTTTCAACAGTATACATATGTGAATCGAGAGCTTCCAATGCCATCCATTTGATGGGCAGCCGCCCATTGCCTTTCTTTCTGAAGCATCAAAAGCTAAATTGGGCAAAGTATACTACAAGTTATAAGTTGTACTAGGAGGGGAGAGGGGTTACACTGTTGCAACCATATCGCAATACTTTGCTCACAAACTTTGGATGTGCAATCGCTCTTCATAGCAAGTAGTTTGCCCTGAGATGCTTTTTGTATGTTCCACAGGATCAGACTGACTACGCAAAGTCTCAAGAGGGACTCGTATCAAGACCTGAGCTTTTGATAGCATTATTGCCCAAATAATACAGACACTGAATCGGTATACCGGAGGCTGAGCGTTCTTCCTATAATTCAGTAACTTTGTAATGACATAAGATAGCGCGTACAAAAAGGTCGTAACCATTCAAGAATCCAGTTCCTTTCTATTCATAATACAAAATGATTGAGTAGTTCGAAAGAAGTTTAAGATGCTGCAGTCAATGAGGCATGAATAGGAGTATTCCTTTGTTGCTTATTCGTAGCTGAATTATCATTAACACTTGAAAGCCAGCTACAGCCGTGGCAGAGTGCCAACAGGCTGCCTCTGCGGTACAGCAGCGGATGAGGGAATTCTTGGCATGCTGCCAAAACGCCTCCTCGGATTGGATAGCGCCCTTCAAGGACACACATGCTCTCGCTGACAGCTCAATGTAGAGGGGAGAGCGCTGCATTCGGTTCCCTAAAGGGAACACCATACTTCTGTAGGCGAAGAGGTCCATCCGAGTTTTTGAAGATCGGCCCACATTTGAAATCATGGGATATCTGAGCCTACATATCTCATCGCATCACATAGCACAATTAAGGATTACGTGTTGATTCTTGAGAGCAGCTAATAACGGGTCAACTTATTGACTTCTTCGGGTAGTGTTCATAGTTTAGCGTCGGGGAAGTGGAAAGCCGCTGCCATTATCACATACGTATTGATCTCGCGACATGTAGAGAGGTGGAGGAGCTGCTGATGCAGCGGTGAGCCAATCGATATTTTCTTATGGGCGCGGCGATACAGTGGTTTCTCAACTAAGGGAAGTACCTCAACAGTGTGTTGGCATCTGCTCTATCTCCTATCATATATAAGTATGGCAGCTTTGGTATTCTGGGACAGCACTTCTTATAATAGTCCCAGGTCATGAATAGAGCCTCTAACCAGTTCACACTTCTGTCTATGGTTAACGCTTCAATAGAGTAATTATGGAGAATCAACTAGTATACGTGGGGTTTCTACGGTCAAATTTTCAGACTGACTAATGAAGGTGGCCTATTCTCTCCTTCGGCGACTTGGCTGAGCTTTACTTAAAATCCTACCTCACTTGTGGTCTGCTTTTAGTTACGACAACGTCTGTATCTAAGCGGCTATAACAACGACTATGAGAGATTCCCCAAAATGGAATGCTGGTTGTACACAGCAGCGACGCATTGATTTAGTTCGCCCGCGTGCTCTACAGGATGTTTGTAATTGGGATAAATCGCTTATGCGTGGAATTGCAAACCGCGACAGGAGTTTCATGAAAATGAAGCACAACATTACCAATTTTATTTGTGGGTACTTTCTCACCTGTAGTAGTCATTGCAGTGAACATCTCTCGATAGACCAAAGTCGGATATTTTCATGACGAAATTCTCCGCGACAAGAACATTTCTGGCGGCCAAGTCACGGTGAATTATCTGAAAATATTGAGACGATACCATGGCATTCATTTAGCAACCTCTTTAGGTAAAGGTCCTTGGTATGCCAACCCTTGCTCATCAGTACGAAATTGTTTTTTGTGTAAAATTAGGGAGAATTTACATGGTCCCGATTAAACAAGCTTTTTTGTTCATAAGCGGTCACTTATTCTTTCCATCAACTCGACTTCCACTTCACTGTTTACTTTACATTTATCTACTGTTACTGACATAACCTAGTGATATATCAAAGATGATTACCTTTTTGTTCGCCATGAACTCCATTCCTTTCGCTACCTGCCAAGCGAAATGGACAAGATGCTTGTGGGTGATATTATGAATGGCAATCTGAAGAGCATTCATTAAATTGTAACTAATATGAACACAACCTCTTGAAAATACCTGTTTGTCTTGTTTATCCGTCCATTTCCGTGGCTCCAAGTAGTCGGCTAGTTCGCCGCTATGTTTCGCCATTGCCTCCTGCTTATCTTCCTTTGGACGGTGGATTCGGAGGAAATCTCTTAAATCATTAAAATTTCACTCCTCTTTCTTCGGATACTAATAATAGATATTGCATTTTTGGTCAAACAATAAGTGGTTTCAAAGAAACTGGGGCTTGCGTAATATTAAAAGCGCCGATGTACGGAAAAGTGAATAAAAGCAAGCACTTTAGGGGAAGTTCACTGAGCAATTGAAGTTAGTGCTAAAAATAATCGTTAAGTATAGGTGAACTTGTTTCTCAAATTTACCTCAAGTTGCCATATTTACATAGCTCCAGCACTACATAAAGCGGCCCCGAGCCGGTGCAGCACCCAATTAGTCTCAGCAGATTGTCATGACGTCCAATGATCTGCAAAAAAATATTGGTTACTACTAATTACAGGTTAATGATCACACTGATATCACGATGGGTACAAAATAGTGAAAAATTGTTGGCGTCACATAGACGTACAATATCGCGACCAAGATTATAAAAATGGGGCACCTCAAGCGACAAATCATCACGCGTGGTGGCTGCGATGGCGTCTCTTGTCCCATGCCCGCGATCAAGGTAAAGGTCAATAGGCGCAGAGATGGTTTTTGCACTCGCGTTTGCACCATGGGTTCGGTTTAGCCGAAGCCGTCGAGTATAAACGCAGGTGTATGTACAGGGTGGGCCAAAATTATGATTACACGGAAATCATATCGCAGAAAACGAATAGAAAGCCAATAGAGCAAACCAATTTCATTAAAGGGTTTAGCACAAATTTCTTATCGAAAATGTACATTAAGACTGGGATCTGTTGCTTTCTGCTTTCACCCAACCCCAAAGACGGCGATGGACGGCATTGACGGTGGCACGCAGCTAGGGTCATCGAAATGGCCCCGGCTTTTTGCTGAGCATTTTCGAGGTTATTTCTTCTCTTGTTTGGGCTAAAGGATGTTTTCATCTCAGAGGCTCACCACACTGGGACATTCATGGGATTTAGGTCAGGGCTACAGAGTGGTCACTGATCGAAGGTTATGAAGTCAAAGAACCCCTTTCACGAAATTTCTAGACAATTTCTGTTCTGCGGTCAGGAGCTTCATCGTTACAATATGACTGATTCGAATCACCAAAGTGTCCTATTGCGCACGAAGAGATCGAACAGTTCTCCAAGTGAACTTTCACCCCTTATTTTACAAAAATAATCGGTGCTTTTGCCTCGGCTGTGACGCTCGCAGAGGATATCGCAGAATGCGAGCAAGCCTAGGGCTGCATCACTTCCATTTCTTTCAGTTTCATACAAATCTTGTAGCCCTGCTTATTGAGCACCTTTTTCACTGCGGATATCTTTCCGCCGGTGAACAGGAATCCCGTACGACAATTTTTTGTATGCAGCGAGGCAGCTTTGGTGAGCCAACCTTTCTCTTCTCTTTAACCTGCTCTCTGGGGAAATCACTTTCTGATCGTATGACGGTCTCGTTGTGCAGGGGATGCTTCACGATTTCACGCAGAAAATTNAAGTTTAGTATCATTAGAAAGGTAATAACGTAAGCTACTTTGTGAAATGGAAGAAATTCAATGAATTGTTATGAACATAGAAAAAATTTGCAATGAACGTCAGCGCGCGCTGTAATCATAATTTTGGCCCACCCTGTATATCCCGATCTATTTCGAAAGTTGCTCCGACTTGTTCAAGCTCATTTAGAAACGCAGTGTCTAGTGGTCGGTGTGGTGTTTGACTGTTTGAAACCTCTAAGAAATTGACTTTTCCCTACTTCATGTTCATAGAGGAACAGTCCTGATTACTACAGGGCCCAACCCGTGTGAAAGTAGAAAAAATCAAGTGTTAACTTACTTTGAATGTTTCCATCTCACTAACCAGATCGATTAGCTCTTTTTCATGTGCAGATGATTTCAGCTTCTTCACAGCTACAGGAATACCCTGAGAATTTGACCCTTTAAGTCATTGTTTATTGTTTAGTGTGGTCAATAAGTGCCATGAGATCACCTCTGGCGGAATTCCTGGATCATTACGGTCGGGACGAAGATTCGCTCTCCACACCTCTCCAAACGCTCCTTCGCCCAGGATATCAACCAATTCGAGTCTAAAGCAATATTGAACTAACTAGTGAACAAGCTGGGTAATTTGTAAAGGTATGCACCTCGATCGATCAATTTCCCAAAGCGGATCGGGATCGATCTCGTAATCGGAGAGCAGCGTCAAATCCGAACTAAGTCGGGGACGCCGTCCTTTCGTTGAAGGCGCTTGCTCGACAATCTTAAGAACAAAAAATTTTGGGATATTAAGCTTTACTAACAACTATTGCTGTGTTTACCTGAATTTGGTAAGTAGAGGGTAGATCCGAGCAGCCTTCCTTTTCCTCCGAGTACGGCTTATGTGTCACAACCACCTGCAATCGGGATTTGAATAGAATCACTGATTGGATATATCCCAAGTTCTTTTATAAAAGCGGTAGCACCTTCTTCTTTTTTGGCATGAGTCCAACACGATCTTCCAGATCTCGGCGCTTTTTTGTTATACGGAAACAAATGTAGTATGCGACACAGAGACTGAGCATCAACGAGAGTAACATTACTATCAGAAGTAAGAGAACTGAAATACAAAAGTTTCACTCCTAGGGCGGAAAACACAATAATTTTAGGTTAGCTATAAAATTGTTCCCATGCTCGATCACGATTTACCTCGGTAATATAGTATAACAGGACCTGACAGTACAACGTGCACACTTGATTGTTACATGGATTTAGTAACGAACTATGTATTAATATTGATTCTTATGGAGTCCCTGCCTTTCACAGATCCATGAGCTAAAGCGCATTTTAGCATTTTCTTAAAGAGTATCCACCCAGCCGTTATGTGCAGGAAATCGTTCACAGCAGTCAATAGTGCACCTCACCTTATTCAAGAAAAATTGATGGTCAAGGTGTTTAGATGACGGAACTTCTTCCCGAATTCCCACGGCCAGCGGCAGTGGTTCCGCGGCGAGCGGCGACTGCCGTATTCCTCTACTAAAAATTCGAATCTTCTTTTCATAGCGCGCAATCGAGTGCGGCGAGCGCGACAAGCCAATCGGGGAGAAGGTACCACACCCATGGTGTTTCAATCACTTGTACACATGTACGAAATGTAACCACAAGATACACCATGTCGAGAGGGTAACGTCCATCAGTTATGAGGATGCGGTTGGCTTCTTGTATTTGCAAAGTGTCCCTTCCTGTGACGACATCGCATCACATTCATCGTTTCTAGGGTCTTTGGAGTATAGGTGTGGATGTAATAACTGGTTCACAGTACATAGGTAAGTATGAGAGTCATTAATCGAGAACTGATGAATTATTTCGCATTAAATAGTAAAAAGAAAATGTCGGCTCTTTTGAAGGGGTCGTTCTCAAACGTTTCACTGACGTCATCAACGACCTGGTTTCGAGCAGTATCAAAAGCAATAACCGTCTATGTATTACTAGTTGCAATAAATCAATCACTGTAACTCCCCTAGACAAGTAAAAAAGCAGGGTTGGTCGTCTTTCACAAGTTCTCTTTATAACTACAGAAAAAACTGACGTATGCTCCATGTCGAATACTCAGGCTCAGGGTTTCCTGTTAACAAAACCATGCCGAGGAACTCATTCACAGTCAACGTCGCATTTGCAAGCACCTGAAGTAAAATGTGATACCTCTAGAAAAACAAATGGAAAGTTGCTTGAATAACGAACCGATCCAAGTGAATTCCCTGTGATACATGCGTATATGCCTTGGTCTTCCAAAGTGACATTGACGAGTGTCAGAGTGGATTCATCATCGTTCGTAACGACGTTAGCATTCTGAAGTTTGAAGATATTACAGAATACAATTTTAACGTTCCACTGAGGACACTATTCACAGGTGGGTGCCAAAGTTGCTAGAAAAGACTGTATGGTTAGTAAAAGGATCAGCTCATATCGATATGATATGATATGATATCGTATGTCAGTCAGTAGCAGTGTCTTTGTTCTAGAAAACGTCCAATTGCTGTTCATTTGCTGTTTCACTGATACTTGTCATAGAACCTCTAACAGTACTATCTTTCTTGCTGAATGTGTAGCTGCTTTCATACTTCGACGATTCTACCTGCGTGAGTAAGCGAGCGGCTATGCGACGTGGCGCTAGACAGGTGTTGATAACATTGGACGCCGTTCGACCACGTGCCAGTGCTGTCACAGTTGGCTGTCGCATAGCCGCTCTCACGCCGCACGCAGGGAGAATCGTCGAAGTATGAAAGCAGCCTGTCGCTTTGGGCAGTCAGCCACAGGATTAGCAGCATGGCTTATAGTGTGGTCTGCCACAGAAAAGTCAAAGTTAGCCTGAAACGCCTCCTGCTGCCATACACGCCCATTGAAGGACGTGCCAAAGCGATAAAAGGATTACTCTTAGATTTGCAACCACCTACAGAGATAACACTGGAAGGGTATTGATTGGAGCTGTTGATACTTCCTTTGAAGTATACATATGTTTCTGGATGATGGTTTCCATTACAAACATCCAAAATAAATCCGAATGGCCTCGCTCGAACGATTGCTGTCTCAGTGAGAGAAAGTAGCTGAAGGGTATTGGCATATCTCAGAGTAAAGCGTCAGGTCTCGTCGTCGTCGGGTCTTGACGCTCGACGCTCTACTCTGAAAGCAGCCTTTGATGTGGCGTTCCGTCCTTACACGAAAGCGAATAAGAATAAGTTGAGTTGAATTTGCTATCGCTATATGTGCCTTTGGGGCTTTGAGAACCTCAGTGCGTTCTTAAGAGAGTCGCAATTCAGTCAATTGAATTAGAAACGCATCGACTGATAACGGAAATTAGGAATCGGAGTCCATTTTGGAAACTAAGCGTATCGATCTGCTGGTCCGATCTACTTGGGTTAAGGGGGAAACGGTTAATAGGGAAATCAATCGATAAGCACACAATTCCATTGCGTATTTCGCAATCCACCATGTTTTTTTTCCAGCAATAAAATCGGCGAAAACCATGACTCAGGCAAGAACTAACAGGAAATGACGTGAAAATTAATCAACTAGCCTCGATCGCATCCATTTCCGTGTACTTAAACATGTACTCTTTTGCAGTTTCATTGTAATAGTGCAGTGATCCGTTGACGCGATCGATTCGTACCCAAAAGATGTAGGGCGTCAGATCGGAAACAACTCGGCAATGAAACACGGCTGTTCCATTTACGTTCACCTAAACAATAACTACTTTACAGCTTATCTTTTGTAGATCAAATCCAACCTGGCCGATGAAGGCGATTTGAAGCTCGCACTTTGACAGCTACACTAGTAAGGGTTTTACTTCCAAGTGGTTAAGTCTACAATACTGCAAACCCATTTCAGCGCCCAGGAATGGTGGGAACGTGGGAGATTACGATAAGCACAACAAGAAAGCTAAAAACGGTAAAAAGAAGGGAAACGACAATAAAACACTATTCTGTTACCATGTTGTGATAGCCAGGCACTCAAGGCAGGACCTGCACTATGAGTACTGTATTGTGAGTACAAGCTTCAAAGGATCAGTGAATACTGGAAGACTTCGCTCCTTTTGACTACTTCAGTATCGGTTGTGACCACATTTTTTTCATTTAAGATATACCAAGATATACCGTTTGATTGACGAGGATATTTGGTACGATTATCGGCGGTCCACGCATACGATTGATGATCGTTACGTTGAATGTGCGACGTATTGTACCCAATGAATTGAAAACCTGAAAGCAGTAAGATGTGTTAGGAAGTTATCTGGAATGTTTCTGGGGCTTGGATAGTCAGACGTGTGGGGATAGCAATATTGAGGTATTAAAAATTCATTAGCTGATTCAGAATTAAGAAACCTTTCTTTTTGGGGTCAAAGTTCGGAGCTTGATTAGCCGTTTTAGAACTTGCTCTTCGGTTCCCAATGCTGGAGGTAGATCAGGTAGTGTAGCGTCGAAGAGAGCTAGTCTTTCCGCCACCGGCTAGGGCTTTGGAGAGAAGAATCCCACGCCCGTACTCTACCCAACCCTGCAGGAACTGACTACCTAAGGTATAAACCTGCTAGATTACACCTTGCCCATCCTCAGCTTGAACAGAGGGAAAGGGCCCCTTAATCTTAAGAGCCGGCTCCCCTCACTAACCTCGCACATGTACTTTCCCGAATCGCTCTCCGCCGCATCCTCCATCTCCAGCATTCCTTTTCGGATTTTGAAGTCGGCTCCAGTCATTCTTGGACTAGCTTCGGTTATAATCGCACCATTTTTATGCCACACGACCTTAAACAAATTTGAATGGGGTTCATTGAATTGCTATCCTTTGTAATACTACAAGAGTCAACCGTTCGAAACTAACCCTCGGCTCCGGATAACCAGTGGCTCGACAGCTCAATTTCACGGTTCGTCCTGCTGGTGATGCAAGGCTCCTAGCTGTCTCCTCACCATCTTTGAAGGTGGGTTTCACTAAAGTAGCTAGTATTGTACCACTGCCTAGTAAAACCGACCCCCCCAAACTTATACTTACAGTCACCTCAACTACAGGGGGTAAAACATTCAAAAGAACCAATATTAAAAACAAAGTATACAAGTACATTACACCCCAACTCTTAAAAAACTATCAGTGCATTGAGAAGGTACGATAGGAACGGGTTTCGGAATCTATGCGGATAAAGAGTACTCAAATTATAATTGATACCTCGACAAGAGTTCCATTTACTCAGAACTAATTTTGTTTCCTCAGAATAAGGGGAAAGGGTGATGAACGTATCGCGTGGAATACTACTA